CTGCCCCCCAGTATGGATCCCCTTCTCATGTCCCCAGACAGCTCCTCTTCTTCTGCCCCCTAGCATGGATCCCCACCCCCATGCCTCCTCTTCTCCTGTGCTCTATATGGCTCCCCACCTCACTGCTCCCCTTGTCCTGCACCCCTCCCCCCATGGCTCTTCCTTCTCTTGCCCCCCAACAAGTCTTACCCTCTGATGAGGAGGATAGCTGTACCATCTCCGTCCGATCTCCGCTCCCTGTCTCCCCTGTACCCGTGCTCCTCCAGGTACAACGGCTGGCACACCGATCAGGGCTTTAAGGCGGCAGCTGGCCCCCATATGATACCTCCGGGCTCGGCCCGCTGCATTCCCGTGTGCCCGGGCCGGCAGAGCAGAACGGAGCGGGCCGCGGAGCCTCAGGCACAGGCGGAGCATGGCTGCGGGGAACACTAAGGGCCTGGGTCCTCTCCTTCTTCAATGACCTCCCCGGCGATCCGGGAACACTTACGGCAGCTGCTCTTACCTGCACGTTCCCCTAGGAGGCGCGCTCGCATCGCGCGCCATCTTGGTACACCCACATCCATAGAAATTTTCTGTCAGCGCTATTGTTTTTCAGAGACTTGCTATCAAATTACCTCGGTCACACAATGTTTTCACTATTTATTTATTCAATCATACAACATTTTACGGCATTGAGCTTATCTTGAAGATCGTGTTCGCTAATTGAGAGGATCAAGATGGCGGTGAGAGTTTTCCGGTGGCTTCTTGTTCCATACACCTGGAGTGCATGGGTGGAACAAGATGGCTGACGGCGTGGTATCGTCAGATCGTAAGGTCGTTGAAGTGGTTATGTTAGGGGTGTGGCAGCGAATGACAGCGGAGACAATGTGACACCGGGAGGAATGTCACTACATCGCAGCCTGATTGGACAGACGTCAGAATGAGTTGTTTGGTAGGTAGAGGCCATAGCTACACAGTTGTTGGTGCATGTAAAGGGTAGAGTGTGTCACGTGTGTGCACGGCTTCACTGGGTGTATTCTGACTGCTATGAATACCAACGGAAGAAACAAAGTATTTCTATATAGTGCGGATATATAATGTGCAGGATTAACGTTAAACTCCAGGCAAACAACTAAATACACAAATATATGAGATCTCTGAAAAGATCCAGTCCTGAGATTTACACAGCTCTGCCACACAGCACTGCCCTGTCTTGTGGGGCAGGAGGCCTGAAGCAGTTTCACTTTCACTTGCAGTTATCCTCCCACCAGCACCCTGTGACTGGACAGTGTCAAGAAGAAGCAGCACACTGATTAGCACATCGGTCACTCTGCTCTCTCATCTTATCAGAGTGCTGCATGCACCTGAGTGGCTCCATGTCCTGCTCCGCCCCCCCCTTTCTGAGCACTGCTTTACAGGGGACGCCATAAGCTGACACCAAGTCTAATTCAGGTACTTACACTGCTGCTTGGATTGATAAAAAGACATTTAATATTATAATACAGGATTTATAGAGCGCCAACAGTTTGCGCAGCGCTTTACAAAATGGAGGGAGACAATACAATTCCAGTACAGGAGATAGGAGGGCCCTGCTCGTGAGAGCTTACAATCTAGTAGGAGGGGCAAGACATACAAAAGGTAATAGCTGTTTGGGTTGATTTAATGGAAGAACTGACAGTATTGTTATATCGAGGTGGGATGGGCTTCCCTGAAGAGGAGAGTTTTCAAGGATCGCCTAGGAGATAGGCGGACAGATTGGGGTGGGGAGTTCCAGAGGATGGGAGACAGTCTGGAGAAGTCCTGGAGGCGATCATTCGAGCAGGTGACTGGAGAGCAGGAGGTCTTGGGAAGATCAAAGGGGGCGGGTTTGGGTGATATTTTGAGATGAGGTGGACAGGGCTGTAACTAGAAATCACAGGACCCCATAGCAAAATATTATATGGGGCATCTCTAGTTACGCCCCTTGCAGAGCCCACCTGAGATCCCACACAGCCCACCTGAGAGTGACCCTGCAGAGCCCATCATAGACTCTCTATGGTGGGCTCTGCAGGGTCTCAGATGGGCTGGTCACACCCCTGCACACCTCTTACCTGTCAGCCCCTATCCGCTGTCAGCCTTTTCCGCTGCTGGGCCCCGCCTCCTCCTCGGTTGCCAGTGAGCCCCGCCTCCTCCACCATCACCTGGCCTCTTGCTCCTCCACCTTTGCTGACAGGCCCCGCCTCCTCTGCTGCCACCGCCGGGCCCCAGCCTCCTCCTCTGTTGCCAGCACCGGGCCCCAGCCTCCTCCTCTGTTGCCACCACCAGGCCCCAGCCTCCTCCTCTGCAGCACTGGCTGTCACTGACTCAGCAGCGGCTGTGAGGAGGAATGTACCAGTGCACAGATCACACAGATTGTCAGTTCCTCCTCACAGCCACCAGTGACAGCCAGCGGCCTGCGATGCCATAGCGACCCAGCGGCCATCACCGCATCAGGGGGACCCCTTTGTTCCTCGTCCTGCCCGGGCCCCCCTTTTCCCCCAGGCCCCATAGCAGCCGCCTGGGTCGCTATGGCGATAGTTCCGCCGCTGGAGGTGGGTGATGTAGGTTGGGGCGGGGTTGTCGATGGCTTTGTAGGTTGTTGTTAGTATTTAGAATTTTACACCTTGTTGGGGAAGTGGGAGCCAGTGGAGGGATTGGCTGAGAGGGGCGGTGGACACTGATCGGTTGGTGAGGTGGATGAGTCTACCGTGTTTCCCCGAAAATAAGACAGTGTCTTATATTTTTTTTTTCCCAAAAAAAGACACTAGGTCTTATTTTCGGGGTAGGTCTTATATTACAGAAATCCCTGATGATAGCACTAGGTCTTATTTTCGGGGTAGGTCTTATATTACAGAAATCCCTGATGATAGCACTAGGTCTTATTTTCGGGGTAGGTCTTATATTACAGAAATCCCTGATGATAGCACTAGGTCTTATTTTCGGGGTAGGTCTTATATTACAGAAATCCCTGATGATAGCACTAGGTCTTATTTTCGGGGTAGGTCTTATATTACAGAAATCCCTGATGATAGCACTAGGTCTTATTTTCGGGGTAGGTCTTATATTACAGAAATCCCTGATGATAGCACTAGGTCTTATTTTCGGGGTAGGTCTTATATTACAGAAATCCCTGATGATAGCACTAGGTCTTATTTTCGGGGTAGGTCTTACTTTCGGGGAAACACGGTAGCAGCAGCATTCATGATAGACTGAATTGGGGATAGCCTGTTTAATGGTCAGCCAACAAGGAGGCAGTTACAGTAGTCAGGACAAGAGATTACAAGGGAGTGAATTTGAAGCTTTGCGGTACCGTGTGTTAGGAAGGGATGAATTTTGGAAATGTTACGGAGGTTGAGTCGGCAAGATTTGGATAGTGATTGGATGTGGGGCTGAAAGGAGAGTCAAGGATGACACCGAGCACCCTGGCTTAATGGGAGGGGTTGGTCGTAGTGCTGTTGATTGTGATGGAGAAGTCGGGGGAGGGGACACGGAGAGGAGGAAATATTATGAGCTCAGTTTTGGACAGATTTGAGTTTCAGGAAGAGTCAGTGAGTAGATTAGTGATGGGTGAGGAGACAGAAGGGGTGAGCTGAGGGGTAGAGAGATATATTTGAGTGTCATCAGCATAGAGATGGTACCGGAGGCCATCGGAGGTTATCAACTGACCCAGGGTGCTGGTGTAGATGAAGAATAGAAGGGGACCAAGGACAGAGCCTTGGGGGACCCCCACAGATAGAGGAAGAGGACAGGAGGAAGCAGAGTTATAGGTGACACTGAAGGTGAGCTGGGATAGGTGGGGGGAGAACCATGAGAGAACAGATTCTTGGAGGCCAAGGGATTAGAGTTTATTGAGGAGGAGTGGGTGGTCAACCGTGTCAAAAGCAGCAGAAAGGTCCAGGAGTATGAGTGCAGAGTAGTGGCCTTTGGTTTTAGTGGTTAGTAATTAATTAGTAAGTTTTAGAAGGGCGGTCTCTGTGGAGTGTTGCGGGCAAAAGCCAGATTGAAAGGGGTTGAGGAGGTTGTCAGCAATAAGGTGGCAGCTAAGTGGTTGTAGACCAGGAGTTCAAGAAGTATGGAGGTAAATGGGAGCAAGGAGATGGGTCTCAAATGGTTTAGACTGGTGGGCCCCATTGAGGGCTTTTTTTAAAAATGGGGGTCAGCGATGCTTGTTTTAGGGGTGTAGGGACAATGCCAGTGGAAAGGGAGAGGTTGAAGATTGTAGAATAGAGGTAGAGGGTGACCGCATTAGATGTGAGGGGATGAGGTCCAGGGGGTAGGTAGTTAGGTGGGTGTTGGATAAAAGAGTAGCTACTTGATCAGCAGTGACAGGATGAAATGAAGAGAGAATAGAATGTGATGGTAGACAAGGTGTATTCAAAGTGGCAGATGTCTGGACAGTGGCGGCCTCACGGCGAATTGCGTCATTCTTGTCTTTGAAGTGATTGGCAATCTCCTGGGCAGTGAGTGAGTTGGTTGAAGGAGGCGACAGGGACAAAGTAGGGAGTTAAAGGTAGAAAGGAGTTGACGGGGACTGGAAGAGAGGATGTTAATGAGTGTGATGAAGTAGGTGTGTTTGGCTGTGTGGAGGCAGGTACTGTATTTTCCGAGGGCAGATTTATATGGGGTAAAGTCCAGCATGGATTTGGATTTACGCCATTGTCCCTCAAGAGCGCAACTGTGTCTTCTAAGTCTACAGTATTAGTGTCCTCCTGTCTGCCAAGGCTGTAGTGGACGGGGCCTGATTCTGTGAGTGGTTATATATTAATTATTAAATCCATTGCTTTCTGCCTTTTATATCTCCCCGCTTTAACCCTTTCACTGCCAAGGCCTTTTTTGCACACATGATGTAATCCACATTTTAAGCCTGAAAAATGACTTAAAACCCCCATTGTATATTACTTTTGGCCAACGAGTTACTTATGTTTGCTCACCTCCCCTACTACTCTAAAGGTGCCCATACACTGGTTGAATATCAGCTGGTTTTTAATATACCGGCCGAAATTCGCAGTGTGTGGGGCTGTCTGCTACCTTTCAGCCACCATTCCTCCATCTGCTGATCGAAGGAGGCGGCTGGAAAATTTCCGATCGATCAGAGCCGGCGGCACCTGTCAGAATACAAGGTAAACGGCGGGATTCCACAATTAACACGCTGTTTGTGTTGATGGAGGAATCGGGTCCATTTTTTTCGTTCAGCCCACGTATTGAACAAAAGAAATTGAAAGGTATATGGCCAGTTTTAGGCTTAAGAGGAGCAGGGGAAGCTTGTCTGTGTCATCTAATCTGCTCTCCAGACATCATTCATTTCATTGTTAGAACTTCCAGATTTGTTACAAAAAGATAACACACACTCATTGATATTCATTATTCTTTATATACAGAATATACCATAAATTGGATGCACATATACCCATTTGTATGTACAACGATGGGATTACAACCAATTCCCAATACTTCATAATAAAATAAAGCTAATAGCGACATTTGCTCAGTACGAACTTGAGGCATTAAAACAGTAGCAAACGT